CCCCAAAACCCCAAAACCCCAAAACCCCAAAACCCCTTTGCAATGAAATAGGTTGAATTATTTAAAACATAAGAATATGTCTAGAACTCAGAGTCAAGAGTGAACTTCTTGTCTTCTTTCTTCTGCATGACTCCTGCTTTCTGGTACTCACTGACCTTCCTCTCGAAGAAGTTAGTCTTCCCTTGGAGAGAGATCATATCCATCCACTCGAATGGATTACTTACATTGTATAGTTTGGGGGCACCAAGTGTGAATCAGAGTCTGTCTGCTACGAACTCAATGTATTGGCTCATAAGTTTACTGTTCATGCCGATGAGTTCGACTGGTAAGGACTCAGATACGAATTCGTGTTCGATCGCAACAGCTTCTGACATGATCTCGTAGATCCTCTCGTTAGACACCTTGTTTACCATGTGCTTGTAAAGCAAGCAAGCGAAATCAGTGTGAAGTCCTTCATCTCTAGAGATCAATTCGTTAGAGAAGCAAAGTCCTGGCATCAAAGATCTCTTTTTGAGCCAAAAGATTGCGCAAAATGATCCGGAGAAAAAGATTCCTTCGACACAGGCAAAGGCGATGAGCCTTTCAGCGAAGCTATCGCTCTTGTTGATCCATTTAATAGCCCATTCAGCCTTCTTTTTGACGGTATCAATATTTTCAATAGCTTTGAAGAGGAAATCTTTCTCTTGTTCGTCACTAATATAGGTATCAATCAGGAGGGAGTAGGTCTCACTATGGATGTTCTCCATCATACTTTGGAATCCGTAGAAGCATCTCACTTCTGGTACTTGGACTTCAGAAGCGAAGTTCTCAATCAAGTTCTCGAGGACGATACCGTCTGAAGCAGCAAAGAAGGCGAGAACGTACTTAATGAAGTGTCTTTCATCATCATTGAGCTTGTCATTCCAGTCTTTGAGGTCTGATGCAAGGTCGATCTCCTCGACTACCCAGAAGCAAGCTTGCTGCTTCTTGTACATCTCCCAGACATCCTTGTACTGGATTGGGAACAGGACGAACCTGTTAGGGTTGTCCTGAAGCATAGGCTCAGGAAGGACAACTTGAGTCTGAGTCACTTCTTCATAAGTATATTGAGATTCAGCCTGACTTGGCTGAACCTGGCTGGTTGGCACAGCAATATGCTGGCTACCATGTTTTTCTTCTTCCTCTGGCTGCTGCTGGGACTGGGAAGCATTACTAAGAATAGCTTGAAGTTCGTCTTGTACACTCATATTTAAAGGAGGGATTTAAAATATTAATAAAGTGCCGCAAAAAATTGTATAAATATCTCAAGGTTCAATAATATTCTTCATAATAGGGGTTTTGGGGTTTTGGGGTTTTGGGG